CTGCTGCTGCTGCTGCTGCTGCTGCTGCTGCTGCTGCTGCTGCACCCCGGAGCTTTTGCTGCTTCAGCAGCAGCGCATGCAACGGGAGTTGTTTGGGGCTTTGTTAGGTCTCCGCTGGCTCTAACCGAGGCCCCCCTAGACAGCTTCGCTGCTGCAGCTCCCAGCCTGCTGCTGCTGCTGCTGCTGCTGCTGTTGCTGCGCCTCCAGGACGCAGCAGCAGCAGCAGGAACAGCAGCAGGAGAAGCAGGTCTTCTGAGTTGCTGCTGCCTTGCTTCAGCTGCTGAGGGTATGAGGCGGCATGCAGATGTTTTCTTTGTGATGGGGGGCCTCTCAACAGGAGGAGACGGCGGCGCAGCAGCAGCAGCAGGAACAGCAGCAGCAGCAGCAACAGCAGCAGCAGCAGAATCAGCAGCAGCAGAGTCAGCTGCAGCAGCAGAATCAGCAGGAGAAGCAGCAACCACAGCACTACTGGTTGCCTTTGCTTCTGCAAGCTGTTGATATAGAAGCCGTAGCAGCTTGAGTGTGTCTGCTGGTGCAGCAGCAGCAGCAGCAGCAGCTGCAGCAGCAGCAGCAGCAGCAGCAGCAGCGTTGGTTTGTACTTGTGGGCTTCTCCTCATCTGGTTGTTTGCATGCATCTCTGTCTGTCTGTTGTTTGTTTTTTTGGGGCTGTTGATAGTTTCTGCTGCTGCTGCATCTTCTGCTGCAGCAGCAGCAGCAGCAGGGCTGAATGCCCCNGGCTGTTGATAGTTTCTGCTGCTGCTGCATCTTCTGCTGCAGCAGCAGCAGCAGCAGGGCTGAATGCCCCAAGCATGAGCTGCTCCTCCCAGGTGGGGTGTATACAAGGCGAAGAGCTTCGTCTGTATATTTCTGCTGCTGCTGCTGCTGCTGCTGCTGCTTCTGTGGGGCTTGCCTGCGTCAGCAGCCGCCCGCATGCAGCAGCCATGCATGCTTCACACCGCCGGCTTGAGTGGGGGCTCCAGCTGCTCCCGTGTGAGCTGCGC